AAAAAAAAAAAAAAAAAAAAAAAAAAAAAAAGGCACTTAAGAGCCCATAATTAAGCAGTTGTATCTGCTATCCATTTGAAAGTCTACTGTGTAAAACTATGCTTGTAATGTAATATAATATCGGTGTTAAAAACACCAAGAGAAGGGCTGGCCAAATAGCTCAGTGGATTAAAGCTCCTGCAAACAAGCGCAAGAGCCAGGGATTCAATTCCTGGGCCTGCCGTGCTGGCCCAGCCCTTGGGTCACACTGAGCTGGTGATTGAGACTGGGAGTGGTGGCGCGAGCCTTCAATCCTAGCTCTTGGGAGGCTGTAAACAGGTGGGTCTCTATGAGTCCGCTCTAGTAGTGAGACCCTGAACACCCTGTAGACCCTTCCCCCCCGCAAAAAAAAGTCCCACAAGATCATAAGCGCAGATCTGAGGGACACACATTTTAAGGAAACCAATTAGAATTTGGGGAATGTGAGATTAATCCACCTAATAAACAGTAAAGGTTTTGGATTTTCCTGAAAACTATCTTATTAAAGAATCAGAGTTTGTGATTGTGTCTAAAAATACCCAGCCACTAATATCACGCTTTCCCCATTATTCGACCTAGTGCTATGTATGAGAAACTGCAGGTAGGACAGCAATCTTCAGGAAGGTAATGATGTTGCTCTTGGGGTGTGCCCGGGAGCACACCCCAAGTCGATTTCATCTCCTTTACATTGTGGAGGCCTCACAGTGGGGGCGGGCACTCCCCTATTCTGAGAAACACTGATGATAAAATACAGGACAGCGATGCCTACTGTTCCGTTGACCCCTACACTGGCAAGGTGCTGGTTCAAACTCTTCCACCCTGGATCAAGCAGTGGCATAAAAATGGTCAGAGAGCACTGCTTTAGAAAATATCATATCTTGAGACACATCTTTAGCTACTGGTGAATCCAAGCATGAGACGAGGGCAAGAGCACTTTGAGTGGCATTGCTTACAGTTTAGAACTGGCTGGTCCTCAATGAATTCAGCAGGCTGATTAATGTGGAGCACTTTCTGCTGGAATCCGGGCGTGCAGTCCAAATCTTCTGCAGATGTTAGCAGCAGCACCTGAGGAAACCAAAGCCATCAATATTTTAATAGCGGCTTGTGTGTTGGCCCTGCTATCTCTTACCAAATCTGTGACGGTTAGCAAGGAGCTGAGGTTTTAATTTCGTTTCCCAAATGAAGAAGCAAGTTGATACTTCTCCTGTGGCTGCCAAGAACTTGTGTTGGCAATGAGATCTGGAAAATGCACAAAGGAGAACAGCTGCTGCAGCTTCCATTAAGTTGCAGTTAAAGAAATAACGTCGTCAGATTTTACACCTGCTAAGAATCTCACCATGGTTTCCATGTGTGAAATTTCATTATAGAAACTGTCAATTTCCCATGATGCCTGAGTTAAAGCCAACTTCACTTTTATATATGCAAAGAAGTATTGTCATCTATGAAGAGGAAGAAAAAGAAAATGGAACTTTTCCACTGGGATTGTCTTCTGAAAGCAACTCGAGGCCGTTGGACTTGCCTCTTGGGCCTACATGATGTCCATCAAGCACCTGAAATGCAGTTGGTCTAAAAGGGATACACTGTAGGTGCAAGCTGGATTTTAATGATGAAGTTAGAAATATAAAATATCTAATTAATAATTTTAAGGGCCAGCCAAATAGCCCAGCAGATTAGGGATTCACTCCCCAGGCCTGCCCTGCCGGCCCTGCGCCTGGGGTGTGCTGAGACAGCGATTGAGACTGGGCGTGGTGGTGCACACCTGCAATCCCAGCTCTTGGGAGGCTGTAGACAGGCAGATCACTACGAGTCCACTATAGTAGTGAGACTCTGAACACCCTGTAGACCTTTCCCTAAAATACCCAAAAAAAAGAAAGAATAATAATTTTATATTAATTATATCCTAAATTATTACTATTTTACATGTGGAACTAAATCCATGTTATTTTACCCATTTATTTTACTTTTGTAAATTTGCATACCAGAAAATTTAAAATTTATAATTTCTTTTAAAGGTTTGGTTTTGTCTTTGCAAATCCTTAGAGGATGCCTCATCCATCACTCAAACGATTAGATGTTTTGGAATCTGAAATACAAATTCTCCTCCATGTTAGATAAAAAGTAGACTTAAAGTCCAGTAAGCAAAGACTACCACTAGGCGCTGCCTTTTTTCTCACTTGTTTATACTGAGTATTCATTATGTAAACAGGCAAAGGAAAGAAGTTCTGTAATTCTTAATGAAAATTCACTTTTATTTCCCTTTTTCATTTGGCAAACACAGTCCTCAGCTGACTATGTGCCAAATCTCATTCAGTCTCTTTATCAGCCCCATGAAGTATATATTATAAAAGATACACTTTTTATATAGGAAGGATCTAAATTTTCACAGAAGTCAGCAAGTTTGCCTGAGATCTATAGCTAAGATACGCGGAGTCAGGACTTGAAGCCGGGTTTAAATGTGCTCTGGTTTTGCACACAGAACCCTGTCCATTTCCCTCAGAACTTCCACTCCAAGGGAAGACGCTAAAATGACCTGAAGTCATTTTACCCTGAGTATGGCGCCATTAGAGAGTGTTTGCAAACTGCCATTCCCAGGGACAGCGGTCAGTGACGGGGACCAGAGCATAAGCACCTAAGCCCCCTTTCCCTCAGGAAGATGACCTGGAGGCCTGGTTCCGTCTCCTTCCCCATGGAATTGAGCTCCAGCTGCTTCTTATGGGATCTGACTTGATAGTTTACCTCTTATCAGCTGCCTTCTCTTCCTTGATTTATTTCCTCATCCTCTGTGATTTTTTAAAAGACCAGCCCTCCAGATAAACTCCACTCAAATCTTGGACTTGATGTCTGCTTCTTAGGAAACCAAACTTTGATTCCAGACCTCAAACTCTTAACCACTGCAGACAGACAGTTGAAAAGCTCATTATTATCCCTAGCAGCAAACTCAAAGGAGAGAGCCAAAGGTTGGGTGCTGTGGAAGCAGGGCTTCTCTCTAAATACCAGCCTTCGGAAACGCACTGAACCCTGAGGAACAGGAGCAAGAATCAATCTCGAGAGGGTGATGGTATGGCCTGCCTGAGCCACATCAGAGAAGGTGAAATAGAAGAGTCATCACCCAGCCTGACACCATCTTTTTTAAATCAAAAAGGAAGCATGCCACCGTCTGGGATCTGTGCAGCCTGCCTTGTGAAACTTTCCCTTGTCCAGAGACCAGGCTCTCATTAGATCACTTACGCAGTGATCATAGCACTCACGTGCTAAGTGGAATACACGCAGAATGCAGATTCAGAACTCAGGATAACTTGCTGGCAATTTCGTAAGCAGAAAAATCGCTAATGGGCCACTGCTAATTCAGTTAAATGGCAAATGGGCAAGGGTCACCACCAGGCCCCCCAGGTCTACAATCATGCATTAACCTTCTAATTGGCTAATTCAACCCTAAATCCCAGACCACTAAAGCAGCCTCACTGAAGCACTCCCTGCTGGGGGTGGGGCATGCGGTTTCCCCAGGGATGCTGAGATTAAGAAGCAGAGAGAGAAAGAACAAGATGGAAGGAGAGAGAGGTAGAGGCCCACAGCTAGAGATAAGGACTGCGACTGAACAGGTGAGCTGAATTCTCCACCTTGGCTTGCATCTGGCTTGCTCTCTTTCCTTATTCCTCGGCAGGGTCTACTCAGGAAAAATCAAGAAAAAACTCCCCCAACTCCTGGCCCTCAGGAAATGGGGTCTTTGCAAATTCTTGGGTTAGCTGTTATGCCAGTCAAAATTCAGGTTAACTCCTTTATAACATAAAGAATAAGCACCTTGCCAGGGAGAACATGCCTTGGTAGAGTGAGAGCTTGAAATTCATTCAGTCATTCACTTATTTACTTGCTGGGAATTGTGAAGCTCCTGGGATCCAGTGAGGGCTTTGCTAGACACAGCCCAGGCACTTAGACAGAATTGTTATCATGTTCTGGTTAATAACATGGACTTCAGCACTGCCCAGACCCCTTTCCTACCAGAGCCCAGGTCCAGCGTGTGCGTGGCATCTTTCATCATCTGCTCACCCGCTCCCCAGATCCATATCCAGCCAGAACTCAGACATGGCTTAGAGGCCTGGTGTGGAACCCTGTGGCAGAACTCCCTGCAGAGAGGCTAGGGGCCAGACCACCCAGCTAATCCAGGAGCTAAATATCTTGCCAGAGGGGCAAAGCAGGTTCACTTCCACAGGCTACAGCAGGAAGAAGCAGAGTACAGAAGCCAGACCTAAGCCAGGCACCTCGGGATGAGTTCAGACTTGGGCGATCCGGACCCAGTAAGCTGAAACACTTGGCTAGACCCTGATCTATGAGAGCATCCTCTCTTACTCTCCTGATTGAGAGAGGGTGCAACAGGTAACCGGAGTGAACTAGTCTGCCTGAAGAACCCATGTACATCAAGGGGAGGTGATCAGACAAAACTTAGGGGAACTAATTTAAATACAAATACCAATTTAATATCTGCTAAGCTACAGACATATAATGTTTGCTCTTATGGTCTAAAATACAAGCCCATTAGTTATAAAAGTTTATCAACTGCTAAATATCACTACACGGGGCCAGAGAGATAACTCAGTAAAATAAGCACCTGTCTGGCAAGTGCAGGGTCCTGAGTTCAATCCCCAGTACTGAAAAAAAAAATTAAGAGCCAGCCAAATAGCTCAGTGGATTAAAGCACCTACAAGCAGGTACAGGGGCCAGGATTCGATCTCCAGGCCTGCCATGCTGTCCCCACCTCCGGGGTGCACTGAGACAGCAATTGAGACTGGGCGTGGTGGTACACTCCTGTAATCCCATCTCTTGGGAGGCTGTAAACAGGTGGATCACTATGAGTCCAGTCTAGTAGTGAGACCCTGAACACCCTGTAGACCCTTCCCTAAAATACAAAAAAATTATAATAAATAAATATCACTACCCATTATTAGTGTTCCTAATTGTAGTTCTATAAATACAAAGCTGTAAGTGCCTTAACCACATAATCTCTCTTGGGTAAGAATATTGGTAGGTGCTAAAATAGTAGCTGCAGCAAAACCAAAGCTCTAAACCAAAGGTCAGAGGACAGTCCTATACACAATGATGAAGAGAAGGAGCAAAACGCATTTTCAGGCCCCGAGCCCACCCAGAGCAAATGCAGGAGAAACCAGCATCGAAGAAATTGGAAATCACACACCTGAAATCTCTGAATTAATAGCATCTTAAGTAAAGAAACAACTGCAGAAATGTACAGAAGAAATCAAATCAGAAATAATATCTGAAGTAAAAAACAATGATAACGATAATGAAAAATTACTAAGTGCTTTTAAAGAAGACACTTATAAAAAAGAGGAGATTGGAAAAATAATGGAATCCTTGAATGAGCAATATAGGAAAGAAATAGAATACATGAAGCAGATGCAAAGAGATATACAGAGAATTAAAACTCAATCACAAGCTGACAAAACCGTTTGAATGAAAGTGAAAATAGAGTTTCAGACCTTGAAGATACTGTGGAAGCTAGTGAAAAGGGAAGAAAAGATCTCTTAAAAACAATTAGGATGCAGGAAAAAACAATTCAACACCTACAAGGTGATGCAAAGATGAACAATGTAAGACTAATAGGTATCAGTGAGAAAGGAGTCAATACAAATGATATAAAAAGAATATGGGCAGAAGTAATAGCAGAAAAATTCCTAAATATGGGGAAACAATCTGACATTCAAATAACAGAAGCATATAGAACTCCAAATAACACCAACCCAATTAAAAACACATTCAGACATACAATAATCAAGATCCCATAAATCCAGCACAAGTACAGTATACTAAAAGCCACTAAAGAAAAGAAACAGATCACATTTAAAGGAAAACCCATCAGAATAACGGCAGATATCTCTTCACAAACCATCAAGTCAAGAAGAGCATGGAGCAGAGTACTTCAAGTCTTTAAAAAAAAGAAAAAATCCAACACAGAATGATATAACCTGCAAAACTCTCTTTCAAGTTTGATGGAGGAGTGAAATACTTCCAAGACAAAAAACAACTAAAGAATTTCATGATGACAAAGCCAACCG